AGAGAAGGATAAAGTGAGAAAGCAAGGTGCCAGGTCCAGGACTTGAACTGCCATTGGCCATATGGGAGTCCAGTACCTTAACCATCATGCCACCTGCTGGCCCAAGAGAGATTTTTGCTATACGATGTGTGCTTTTGCCAGAGAGACAGAGAGAAAGTGAAAAATTACCCCCCCGGGGGGGTGTGGTCACGCCATGATCCCTTTTCCTCCATTATCCTCCTAGGATTTTGGGCATGCGCACACACATGTCTGGCATGAATTTCAAGCCTCTGGGTTTGGGACTTGAACCACAGTTGGCCATGTGGGAGTCTAGTGCCTTAAGCACTATGCCACTTGTTGGCCCCTACTATAGACTCTATGTGTGTCCTCTGGCTTTCTCATTTGCACAAGACCTTTGCTCCTTTTTGTTGTAACTGACATCTGTGTGAGCAGTGCATGTTTCCTTGGGGACTAAGTAGCGAGGCCTCAGGTTAGCGACGAGCACGACTAAGCCTTGTGAGTGCCTTTGCAGTGCCTGTGTGCCGTGGGCACAGTGATAGCGAGGGTCGCATTAAATCTCTCTTGTTTTGTTGTTTGGGACTTGTTCTAGGTCGCAAAGGAGTTCGGCTTCCAGAATAATGGCTTCTCTGTGTACATCAATAGAAACAAGACCGGCGAGATAACAGCCTCTTCCAACAAGTCCCTCAGCTTGCTGAAGATCAAGTGAGTGCCCAGCGACAAGGGCACAGCACCCAGAGGGCCCAGTGCCATGGCCTGCCGAGGCGCCAGCACTTGCCTGCCCCTGCTGTTGCTGTAGCCGTGGTGCTGCTGCCCGACGAGATGCATGCAAGCATCTGTGGGCTTGCCAGTGCTGTGAGCGGGCCTTTGGGAGTGTGTGTCTCTCATGAGAAGGAGCTGCGGTCTCGGTCAGTGCACTCACGGGGCAAAGTGCTTACTCGGTTTCTTGTTGAGCAAGAGACCTTGGCACAGCTCCATGCAGGAAGTCCCATCAGCCCTGCCTGCTGACTGGAGGGCTGGCAGCCGGCAGGTGTTGTCCACTCCCCAGCTTGAGCAGTCCTGGCGGGGGCTCCCCGGTGCAGCGACCCTCCCCACAGCCTCTGAAGGCGAGTTCAGGGCTGCTAGCCACAGCCCATCACATTGTTGTTGATGGTCTTTGTGCCAGCTGGGCAGAGGTGGGCAGCTGCGACCGGGACTGGATGGCCTGCGAGACTGGAAGCGCCGTTGGTGTTTTGAGAACATGTGGGTCTGGCCCCGTCGGAGCCACGGGGGCACCTGCACAGGTGTCAGCTCAGCCCTGATGCAAGAGGCCGACTTTGCCCCGGGCTGCAAGTCGCACGTGCCCTTCATCATTTGTAGTTAGAGACTGACCCGGTCATTTCAGGGTCACAGATCCAGGTACCTGAGGAACAGCTGGGCCATTACAGCGTTGGTTTGTCTGTCTTCGACTCAATTTCCTGGGCACTTGTCTCTCTCTGCCTCAAGGGCCAGCCTCACTGCTGTTAGGGCTGTTCCTGTCCTGGAATGGCCAAGCTGCATCATCCCTGTAAGCTCATACAGGGATTTTGCTCTTGAGAACGATGTGTTGTGGATGTTACTGTTTGGATTCACTCTGCATGCCTTGTGGGATGGCATAGCCTGGGTCTTTCCATCCTTCACATGCTCACCGGGTACCTGCACACGCTGACAATAGTGACTGTGTATAGAAACTGGGCCGAGGGACCAGCAGTTGGCGTAATGGCTGTGTTGCTGGCCATGTAGTTGACTGCAGTTCGAGTCCTGGACCCAGTGGCTTAAATTCACGCCGGGTGCGTGTGCATGTGTGCCCAAGATCCCAAGAGGAGAATGGAGGAGAAGGGGTTGTGGCGTGGCCACCTCCCAGGGCGTGATTTCTTGCTTTCTGTCTCTCTATCTCTCTCTGTTTTTCTGGCGAGCACATGGGCCCTATAGCAAAAACCTCTCCAAAAATAAAAAAGAACCTCGGCTGACAGCCAGGACAGGAAAGGAGTTGCAGAGTGCGTGCTTTTGGGATGGCACCGTCCAGACCATGGTGCTGTGCTACTGCCCATGCTGCTGGACGGCCCCAGAAGTGGCTCTCAGTGGAGTCAGTAGCGTTCTCCTGGAGGGTGTCTTTGTTTTTGTTCATCTTCAAGTTTATTCATTTATTCCATGTGTGAGAGACAGACATATACAAACACACAGCACCGAAGCACTGCCAGCTGGGTGTCTACGCCACGGTCCACTCCAGGCTCAATCAACCTTGGGTCATGGGCACCCCTGTCCTGGGTGTACTCAGGAAGACCCCCCAGAGGTGAGCCTGGCCTTTTGTGGGGGACTGGCCCTGCAGAGTGCCCCGTCTTACGTGGACCCCCATCTAGTTCCCAGTTTGCTTTTTAAAAAAGTTGAATGTTGGGACCAGCAGGTGGTGAAGTGGTTACAACGCCAGACTCCCATGTAGTCAGTCGTGGCTTAAGTCCTGGACCTAGCGGCTTAAAATCATGTTGGGCATGTGTGCATGGATACCCAAGATCCCGAGAGGAGAATGGAGGAGAAGGGATTGCGGAGTGGCCATCCCCCCTGGGGGCTTATTTCTTACTCTCTGTCTCTTTGGGCAAGTGCATAGGCCTTATTGCAAAAACCTCTCTCAAAAAAAAAAGAAAAAAAAAATTGCATGTCTTGGGGCCAGCAGCTGGTGTGGTTAAAGTGCTGGACTCCCACATGGCCTACCACAGTTCAAGTCCCAGGCCCGGCTGTTGGAAAATCATGCTGGATGCATGTGTGTGTGTGTGCACGCACACCCCAAATCCCAGGAGGATAATGGAGGAGAAGGGATTTCAGTGTAGCCCTCCACTGGGGGGTGGGGGTGATTTCTCACTTTCTGTCTGTCTCTATCTTGAGCACATGTGCTCTATAGCAAAAATCTCTCTCTCAAAAAAAAAAAAATTGTTAAAGAACATAGGTCGTCGACCGTGGCGTCTTCTCCCTCCTGGGTGTTGCTGACTCCGCGTTCCTGGTGCCCGTCGCCCTGGCCCTCAGTGCCCTGGGCCACTGGTGATCGCATGCTCAATGCAGGGGCCTGAGAGGCAGAGGCAGGCCAAGGGACACGCAGGGAGCTGCTCATCAGGAAGGACGGTGTATCTCCCCACTCTCGGGCTTGGTTTGAAGCTGCCAGCTGCTGTACCTCCTTGAAGCCCTCCTGCTCCATTAGCTCAGTTACTGCAGTTCTCTCCATCCTTAGATCTCTTTTTGATTCTGGCTGTTGGCATCGAGCCCTCCCAGGGGCTGTGTGGCTTAGCCCTTCCCTCGTTGCCTGCACTGCTTCACTTAGGCCTACTAGGCCTCTATTGAAAACCTCCATGTTCTCAGGGCTGCCCCGTCTCAGCCCCTGAGACACAGTCCACTCTGCGCAGTTCCTGCCCTGGCATTGCAGTCAAGGTTGTCCACGTGTGAGCCATCCAGCCTGTCTGTGGGGTTGGAAGAGCCACTCTGTAACCCTTGTGTGTGATGTTGGGCAGCTCCGGCCATTCCACGCTACACTCTGCCCCAGGTCTGCTCTGTGTTTGTGCTCTTGCGCCTGAGCCCTGTGGACTGTGTCTGCCTGCTATCTTACCCACTTTGGCTTGTGGTGCTCACCTCTCTGTATGTTTGAGGCTGGGGCTTCAGGAAACGTCGAAGTAAGGATGCCTCCAGTACCTGGGTGCCTGGCCCGGGCTCCTGAGGACCTGGACGCCTGGCCCGGGCTCCTGAGGACCTGGATGCCTGGCCCGGGCTCCTGAGGACCT